CATGGCCATCCCTGCCATGGTAGACAAAACCTCTTTCTAAGGCTCCCATAAATTCTCAGGGTGCATACAATACACGGAAGTATTTCTTGGAGAAGGCAGCATCCAGGAACATTTTTTGGTAGCAATTGTATATCTTTCCTGGTCTTATATTCCTGGCTGGGTGGGGCTCTCATGTCACCCGGATCTCCTGCTGAACACCTAGGCCAGCTGAAGTGTCCCATGTCCTAGAAGGTGCAGAGTTTGGATGGTGCAAATGGAGAATCCATTGGCATAATGATCAACTATCCTGCTGTGGCCCTTGTGGTTCACCTCTCATTGCACTTAACAGGTCCCATCGAGGGGTAGATAGAATAAGGAGAATGGGTCCCAGCAGTTTTGACAACCTAGACAGATGAACACCAGCAAATTCCACCGGATGCTCTCTTGTCCGAGTCCCGCCAACAAGAGCGATATAGTTGTTTTCTATAATATATTTTGAAGGTTATCATTACATAGATAATTTAAAATGGAAAAATGATAATAATATAAAAAATGCCTTCATCAAATCTCTTTGAAGGGAAAGCTGTCATCAACAATCAACACTCTTTGAAGGGAAAGCTATATGGCCCCGCTTTTCTAAAACACTGTAACATATGCAGAATTAAGTAGTCAATATAAATCAATAGTGTCAAGGGAGAAAGCATGCTCATGTCCAAAAATCCTTACTCAGCCAAACAGAAGCTGGAGAAACAGGACCTCCTATTTTGAGAATCAGGTGGACTCTTGGTTTCCACACATAAGGAAGGGAACTAGACCATGATGGGGATTACTTTGACTGTAGATTACTTAAGTCAGGATACAGTGCTTTAGTGCACCCATATGTCAGTGCTTTATCTTCAGGACCCTTTGTCAGGACATTTTCAGATTTATTTTACTTCCTATCCTCTCTTATACATTAATGTACATGAGCTGCTATTATTCTTTCATATTGTAATGTCCAACTGTCATCACTTACTGTCATATTTCCCCTGAGTATGCACCTGCAAGCTGTGATCTGCCTAATTGCCCTTTCACCAAACTGCTTATTAGCATTAACTAGGTAAAATCCTAGGGACATATCAAATTTGAACTCATGATAAAGTAATGGAAATATTTCAGTTGATGAAAAAATTGCAGCTGATTTTTACATGAATGGATGAACAGAGAGGAGGAGTGAAATAATTGTGTATAGCCACAGATATTGCATTTTTCATGGACTGTAATTGTATCTGGGCATTGGATGTAAGATACACAGGATTCCTGATCATCTAGCCAAGGATATAGCACACAAATAAATAACAAATTAACTATTTTCTGAGAGAAGATTTTCTTGAGAACTGATATTTGAACATATTTGTGAATAAAGACAGAGCACTACCATTGATAATTCTAAGGTAATTTTGTCATCAATGGCAAGTAAAGATTTCCTAATGATGATTCATTTTTTGCTGGTTTAAAGAAATGTACACAAGGCTAGCAGGACTGCAATAAAGTAAGAAAAGACATTATGAGAAAAATGAGATGCTTTGGAGCATTGGCTTTTTCAAAGACTGAGTTTTATCTAAACCATGGTTGGGTACTATTAGAGATTTAAAGATAGGACTGGTATATTGGAAACTGTAAATATAGACCAAAAATTTGAGAGTAAAAGATAATATCACTAAAAATTGAAAAGACAGAATGAAAACTCTGACGATCCTTCTAAGTAATTTAGTTCATTAATGGTACACATAGCAAGCATTATATTAAACAAAATTTCTATGATGCTTTCATTTAAAATTAAGATAATAATGTTCAATAAAATGCACTGGCCTAAAGGGTTAAATAGGAATAATGAAACAGGACATGTTAAACTGGAGTGAGGGAATGAATGTTAGAGGAAAACTTTGTAGAGGGATGTATATAACATTAATGAATTTTCAAAAAAGACAAGTGAATACCTACTAATGTTGAAGCACATACAAGCGTGCACACACACATGAGATAAAATTTGAGTTTATCTGTTGCAGGGCAATAAACACTCCTACTAGAGATTAATAAATAAAATAATGTCCCTACTATAAGAGGTAAATAAGTAAAAACCTCAGTCCTTGTAAGGCATTATTTCTTTTAGAATTGTTGTCCAATGAGTTCCCATAGGAAGCCCTTGGCCTTAAACATTAGAGTCTATTTTGACTCTCCTGGTGGCAATGTAGAAGTTGTTACTGAGATATTATTGCTGATATTATTGCTAAGGACTCCACATATTTGCATAAAATATTGGAATGAATCTATCTGGGATAGATCTGGAAGTTTCATCCCTACTAACTACCTTTTGTAATGCTATAAGGTAATATACAATTGTCAGAGGTAACAATAGCTATCAATCACACTCACTTATGGACCCTTCCAACTACAACAACTGGCCTGACAAGGCAAGTCCAGCAGTCAATAATGACATGAAGATCACGGGAGCAGAGTTGGGAACATTCCTACCCATAGCCATAAAGTGACAATTGTAAGCTTCTGTGACAAGAGATGAGTGTTTTCTCTAAGAGTGTATCTCAGATAAGCTGACTACACTTTGAGGAAAAACAACACATCTAAGAATATTCAAGTGGCACAAATTGGTCTTGAAGTTAAAAAAAATATGAAATGGACACAGAGTTATAAGGGTAGGAAAGAAGTGGTTACTCTGGAAGAGTTGTAGAGGGTGAATGTGATCAAAATATGTTCAAAACTATCAAAGAATTAATGAAAATGGATAGAAAACTGTGATATTTTTAATAATGCTGATTTATTTTTAAAGTATTTGTGAAGGCAAAAACTCCTCAGAACCTATCAGTTAGGGTTTCCTTCACTTGCAATTAACTACAAGTTTCCAAATTGCCAAAAGGCCGATTTATCCTTAGTGTCATCATATAATTTGTGTTTACAATTATTTCTCTGAATGTTTGGCAAATGATTTTAATGACATTTCATTTATTTACAAAACAGAATTAGAGCCTAGAATGAAGCTGTCTTATAGTATCTTCAAAAATGAATCAAATAAAAGAGTTTTAGTAGGCTATGAAGGCACATTCCTCTAGCCCCAGGTCTCCCTAAGAGACAGGGGTATGGAGAGATTAAGATGATTCTGAGCTACAAATTGCATGCAAGGCAAGCCTGAGCTGCTCAAGAGTCCAAGGGCTCAAAGACCAAGGGCTTGAAATGTAACATAGTTACAGAACACAAGGCACATGGTCCTAATGATACCATCTTTTAACAGAGAAAAATGAGGAGGGGAAGTGTTATCAATGATTCGGAGGAGAGAAGATTATTGTATAATAGTTAAACAAAAGGAATAATATACTTACAAAATAATAGACGGTCTGTAATATAAGAGCCTTAGGGTTTTTCCAGTAGACTGAACATGGAGAATACTAAGAAACAATACAAAGAAAAATTAATATGGTTGATTTATGAGTCAAATACTTATGTAATATCTGCCTTGAGATAAAGTAATATCTATATATAAAGCATGTTGACTGCTATGGGAATGGGATAACCCAAGCCTCTTTTCTGAAACAGATTCATAACAAAAAGTAGCATTGGCTTGCAACCTGTATTAAAATACACAATTGGGAGACAGAGAAGACAGAGACATAAGGAAAAGGGCAAAGGCCAAGACCTTCCCCCAACCAAAAAGCAAAAACACTGGTGCTTCCCACTATAGTCTCACTTATTGCCACCCTAAGTAACTTATCCTAGTTTTCTATAAATCAGTTCATAGGTTCCAGGTGGCTCTTTGTGACTACTTGTAATCAAATATCTTCACAAGCTACACATTTAAGAAATTACATCAGAACCCAGAAGTAGACAATCATCTTTCAGTGGCAGAGGTGGTGGAAATGCTCTCTAGTGAGCCATTAAGTCTGCTTCTGTTGGCCCTAAGTACACACAGATTAACCTAGCATTTTAATAGTTGTGTCAAGATTGTATAATCTCTCTTTGCTCAACTTTGTGTCACACTAATTAGAGAAAGTTTGAGTGTATAACTTCTGATAAAGCTTATAATGTCATACGAAAATAAATGCTATTATATTACCTTATCAGTTACTAGATATTTTCAAACGTTGTAACAAAGTAGTATAAAATCTAAATGTTAAATTACTTTTTAAATTGTTGAAGATACTCAAGGTAGAATACAAACTTATTGCATTTAACTTTTGTGACTGATGTGCAAGAATTGAATAAATATAACATTCAGTTGAAATACTCATGCTATGTGACAAAAATAGAAAACTGGCTAGACATTATTTGTACTAGGAATTTTCTGGTTTTCTATGAAGTTTTCAGACTTTATATTTTGTTTTTTAGCTTATTATGTGTGGCATTTACATTGAAACCCCATATGCAACATGACTAATGCAAAGTGTGAGGTGCAGGTAGTATGGGTTCATGATTACACTGACCCTCCTTGAAAATACCAAAATACCATCCCTGCCTCTTGGATCAGCTGCTTTCAGGTTCTTTTTTTTTTTTTAACCACACATCAGCCAGACTGACATTTTTAAGTTGATAAACATACTTATCACTTCCATGTTTAAAGCTATCTGCAGAGATTTTCTCTGAATGATGCCAATGGGATGAAGATGGGACGGGTATATGCCGAGAGAAATGATGGGTCAGCTCTTAAGAACATTGGTTGCTCTTCGAGAAGACCCAGTTTCCATTCTGAGAAGCTACATGGCTGCTCATGGTTGTTTATGGCTCTAGTTTCAGAGGATCTGAAGTCCTCTGTGGGTGCCAGCCATGTCTGTGGTGCAGGAACATACATGAAGGTGAAGAACCCGTACATTTATAATGGGGATGGGGATCTGCACTGGACTGAACTAGACCCTCTGTATGTAGGTGACACTCATGTGTACTGATTTGTTGAGGGGTGGAGAACCTGGTAGTGGACGAAGACTTTTCCCAGGTACATGAATTGGCTTTTTGGAGCCCATTCCCCGTAGTAGGATATGCGTACCTCAGCAATGACACTGGGAAAGAATCTTGATCCTGCACGACTTGGTATGCTAGACCTTGTTAAGGGGCCTTGACCTCTCTCAGGAGTGGATAGGGAGTTGGATGAGAGGGAGGAGAAGGGGAGGGAGAAGAAACTGGGGTTGGTATGGAAAATGAAAAAAAATTAAATAAAAAGTAAGATGAATGCATGTGTGAGCTTGTATACACACAATTTTAGAAAACAAAATGGAGTTGACTGAAATATAAACGGGCAGGATTAACATTCCTCGGCTTTGCAAAGTTAGTGCAGGTGGTATGTAAAATTAAATGACCCCCATAGAATCTGGGCACTTCTGAAGGTGGGGGCAAGAAAGGAGACTCATAATGAAAGAATTGCCTATTGTAAGAATAACTTCAAGCCTAGGGTCTCTACTTCACCTCCACAGCAGGAAATGCCTGACCTAGAGAAAAGAAGATGCCCTAGATCCCCAGGACAGAAAAGCCTGTACAAATTCCAGAATAGGATGCCAGACAGCTGGAAGGATGCCAAAATTGAAAACAACGGCATAAAATGATGAGATGGTTTTCTATTTGAGAAAGAATTTTAGACAATTTTTGTTGAATTATGGAAAAATATCTTTAAAAAAACCCTGTAGCATACATCAAGTAACTCTTTAAAAGACAAGATTTTAAGGAAGTACAATCATATTAAAATTTCTCATTAGTCTACAAATATTACATAACATATTATTATTGTTATTTTGTTGATGTTGTTGTTAATGTTATTTTGAGAAAAAGTTTTCCTTGTGTAGCCTTGAGTGTCCTGGGACTAGCTCTGTATATCAGACTAACCTCAAACTCACAGAGGTCCACCTGCCTATGTCTCCTAAGTGCTTGATTAAAGGCATGCAACACCACTGCCCAGTTCAAAATATTAAATTTTAGTTAAACATTGATATTTGAGAAATAGAGGAAGTGTGAATGTGTACATATGTAAAGAGGAAAAGAATAAAATCATTTTGTATAGTAAAAAGGTGACATATTACATATAAATTTTAAACATTTAGAATTAGTAAATATATACAATTACGAACAAGAGAGCACACAATTTAAATGGCTAAAAATGTTTGAGGACCTAGGGACAAATATAACAGAAAGTCCTGTTTTCTGCAGTAAGCCTTAATGATATGCTTCTTTTTAAGGTATGCACATTTACTGTTTGATACCAATAAAAGCACAGTTGTTGTTTAATTACTGCATAAACCCACCATATTTACAAAGCACACATCCCTCTTCCATTCTTTTCTCCTTCATCTGCTCGCTCCAACCCTTCTTTTTTATCTTATTTTTATATTTTATTTTATTTTTATTTTACATATTGTTCCCAGTTCCCTCTCCTTTTCTTCCTCCCTCGCTCTTTCCCTCACTCCCACCCTCTCATGCTCCTACCCTTCTTAAGATTTTTGGTTACAAACATTATCTGTGCCATGGGATTCTACAAATTTAGTAGTTTTAACACAGAAATAGTTTACAATTGCAGAAAATATTCAAGATGGGATGTGCTTACATTCATTGAGTTGCATTTGGATGTGTTTTTTGTGGTTTAAGCTTTAAGACCATATAATCGGTAATTTAAAAGAACCAAACAAATATTCAGCTAGTACTGACAGATTCTGAGAAGTCAAGATGATCTAAAATTTGCTGGAATGTGACAATGGTATCTATTGCTGTATAACAAATTACCTTCATACACATTCTTAGCTATAAACTAGTAAATACATCTATGGGAGTTTTGGTGCATGAGAAATTCATGTTGGTGTTTGAATCCCAAAACAAGTTAAGAGACTGACACTGAGATGTACAGCAGGCAGAAATTCAGTTCTTCACTGGTAAAGTGAAGCTAGCTTCCAAAAATGCTCCTGTGAATTTGTGACATTGACCTCACAGTGTAGTTAGTGGTTCTAATAGAAAGAGAACCCCAAGAATAACAAAATGAAATTACAAACTACTCCTGAGTTTTCCCTGTGTGTAACTTTGCTATTTCTATTAAATTCTGTTCAATAGTCTGGCTGGCCTTTAATCCTAGCACTCAAGAAGCAGACAAAGGTAGACTCTCTGAGTCTGAGCCTAACCTGTTCTGAATAGAGAGTTCCAGGAGAGCCAGACTACACATTGAGACCATATCTCAAAAGAAGTATCAGTTAAAGGGCATTTTCAGAAATGGTTCTATTCAAGAACATAATGACACATCTCTTTAATCATTAAATCAAAGAAATCATTTTGTATCAAAGAATTTATGGTCATTATTTACAAATTATTAAGATTACCCAAATTTACCTTTTCATCAGTCAACTTACTGATTTCTATTTTAAACCCTCTACTATAAGGATTTCATGAGCAGTTACAAATTTGTAAATTGAAGTTCAGTCCTTTAGTTCTTTCTGGGAAGCAACTGCTATCTGTGGAATATTTATTGCCTGCCACTATGTGCAACTTGTAAGTTAGATTCCTGACATGAAGATTTTCTAAATATTGTCTTTTATTAAATATAAGGACAGAACAGTGAGCTTCTGAAATTTTATTTTGTTTTCAAGCAAAAATAAATTATGCTATGTATTAGTGTTTTACATGGAGTATCAGATCCCCCTGGAAATGCAGTTATTGATTTTTGTGAGTGGTGATGTGGGTGCTGGGATTTGAACACAGGCTCAAAACCACTTAGCTATCCTTTTAACACTTATATGTAACATATGTTAATGTTGATTTAACATGTGTAAATGGTGAAAAACATAAATCCTAATCTGAACACTTTTGAAACATTTCTATGTTGAAAGAAACAGCAATATTGAAGTTACCTTCTGAAACAGATGCTTACATTCTAATGTTCATTAAATTGACACAGGAGCTGTTAGCAAACTGTGCTAACAAATTGTGTGCTTCTGATCCTTATAGATTTTTAATTTGTCATTTCTGCTTCATTAGAGACTATGTAGCAAAACTAGGTATCAATCATTAATACCTGTCAATGGATAATATATAGAATAGTGGCAACATGTCTTATGTTAGTGCATTGTCTTGGTGTTCTATTGCTGTGAAGAGACACCATGTCCACACTAACTCTTGTAATGGAAATCATTTAATTGGGGCTTGCTTACAGTTTTAGAGGTCTAGTCCATTATCATTGTAGTAGGGAGCACAGAAGCACACAGACAGCATGGTGCTGGAAAAGGAGCTAAGAATTCTATATCTTATCAGATTTATAGGCAGCAATAAGAGATAGCCATGGGTTTGCCTTGAGCTTCTGAATCCTTAAAGTCCACCTGTAGTGAAACATTTCCTTCAACAAGATCACATCTACTCCAAGGATGCCACAACTCTTAAACCTTCTAAGTAGTATCACTCCCTGATGACTAAGCATTGAAATATATGAGACTATGGGGTCCATACTTATTCAAACCACATATATAATAGATGCCCATCAAAGATAATGAAAGTGTGAACTTTTAGGTTATCTTTTCTGTGTGGTGGAAACTATTTTCAATTTATCAATCTATAAATTAGTATCCATATTCAGAAAAAATATGTCTAATTATATAACTGAAAAAAAGTGAATCAACTGTTTATTTCCCAGAGGAATATACTAGCCCTTAGATGAGTTTATTATACAATGGTTCACCAGATCAATGATAAGCCATATCAATATCTCTTTTATGAGTTTTCTCATGATGGTTTGTCTTTTTACTCAATAATTTTAAAGAATAGGGTGCTCTCACAAACATTACTTGGGTATTTTCATTAATTTGATATATACTAGTCACAAAAGAGAACCATTTATGGCTCAAACAATGGAAATGGAGTCTGGAAAGTTCCACAAATGGAATGCCTCTAGGACATCTTGCTCTATACTGTCATGTCTCATATTGTCTTCATATGGCCTTTCATTAAATTACCTCTTTAGATACCATATGTCCAAATGTAATCACTTACTGAGATACTGAGGACTATAATTTGAAACACATATAGTTCAACTCATTACAACATGTTATACTTTAGAAAACTTAAAATGTTTGAGTCACATACTAACAATTCTGGTAGTATATGACTTACCTTATTATATGAGAGAAATCAGAAGCATCATTTTTAATCAGTGTTGGATTATCACATGTCTCTTGAATTTATATTTGATTTAATCTGAAGTGAATAGACTGTTAAATTGTTAATCTTAACAGATAATATGTAATTAACAAAATATTGGCAAGATGATGATATCTTATGCGATTCATGACCATCAAAGATAATAAAGGTGTAATTTGAGGTTGATTTTTTCTGTATGCGGGAAATTATTTGCATCTTGAAAGCATGAGTATATTTTTGTTCATGTAACTACATTTAAAAATTATTTCTGTGTTCCTGTATTATGCTTTCATATTTTAAGGACATTATTTAGACTCATTCTGTTTCTGATAGTGGGTGCCCAACCTGTTCAGTTATTGTCAGTATAAATAGAAAAGTTCTTAATGATTTTTGATAATTTAAAAAATTATAAATAGTTGAGCATGGTTTCATATGCCTTTATTCCAAGCACTTGGGAGGCAGATCTCTGTGAGTTCGAGGCCAGCCTTATCAAGAGATCAAGTTGCAAAATAACCAGAGTTGTTACACAGAGAAACCCTTTCTCAGAAAAAATTTATATATATATATATATATATATATATATATATATATTCACATTGTAAATAAACACATTTATAATATATATGTGACCAAAATTAGAATCATTTCTAGGAAACAATAAAATACAATCTAAATGATCTTTAGTTGACCAAAGAATAAATTAAACAAATGTAATAAAACATATAAATGTTTGTACTATAAAGTGCATCAGCCATGTTAGTAGATACTAAGTGGTATCTTATCTTTGTCCTTAACCTGTTACAGCAAAATTCTTCTATGTTAACAAGATGAAAATAAAATACTGAATATGCTTTCTGGAGGGTTCTGTCTTCTAAAATGTTCATATTATTTCTGAAATTCTGGAGACAGAGAAATGATTTAGACTTATTGTGTTGCCAAACTGGTAGACACATAGAAGATCAGAAGAGGAGATGGGAAAGGAGAGGGGAAGTAGACAGATGAGAAAGGAAAGAGAGAGAGGAGGAGCAAGGGGAGAGGAGAGAAGGAGAGTGGTGTGGAGGGGAGTAGAGGGAAAGAGGGTATAATAGAAGGCAAAGGGAGTGGGGAGGGAAGAATGGGATGCTTTTGGAGTGTGAAGCATTTAAATGCTTACATTGGGCAATATCCATCTGCCTACCTACCACAAGTACATGTCTCTGTGATGCCAGAAAGTGAAACTGAACCAGAACACAATGAATGATCCAATAACTTAGAATAACCTGGATTAGGAGGTTGATGTTAGAGCATCTTTGAAGACAAAGATAAAGAATTAGGAAAGGACTGCACATTAAGATAAAGTAAACCTAAGAAGTCATGTCTATCTATCTGCAAAATAAGAAAGATGAAGGGCTGTATGTAGCCACAAATTCCTTGAAGCTGTCACTGAGGGTTAAGGACAGCACAGACACAACACCATGGGAGTAAAACCAGACTCCACCTCTCTTTTTTCTTTTTTGTGGCTGTGATAACCATAAGAGGAAGCAAGTTGAGGAAAAACAGGTTTATTTTATCTTACAAATCATAAGTCAGAGCTGATCAGTGAGGAAAGTAGGATAGAAACCTAAGGTAGAAACCTGAAACCAGGAACTGAATCAGAGACCATAAAGGACTGTTGCTTACTAGCTTGTTACCCATGGCTTCCTCAACCTTTCTTAGGCCACCCAGGATAATTTCCCATGGGTGGCACCCACCTAGAGCAGACAGTGCTCTCCTGTATCAATCATTATTAAAGAATATTCCCTACAGACTTGCCCACACGCAATCTAATGGAGGCACTTGCCCAAGGCAATCTAATGGAGGTATTTTCTCAAATGAGTTTCCTTTACAATCATCCCTAGCATTATCAAACTGACAAAAAAAATCATATAGAACAGGGTCATTTCATATGTGCCCTTAAAGAAGTTGCATAGCCGAATCACACTGTAAGCACAGGTGCATGTGTGGGAGCCCGGCTACAACCATTGTGGTCATCACTGTTTGCAGAAGGTCATATTATGCTAATTTATGGAATGGGTTCAGTGTGCATGTATGGACCAACAACTGGAGTGTGTACTGTAGACAAACACAGACATAGCTCGCTGCATCTACTATTAATAGTCGGCTGTCTCACTCTTTTGGTTCTAGGATAAATATTGCACTGCATTTACTGTGGTTGACTTAAAGCTTAACTTTCTAGATAGTTGCAAAATACTTAGATTTTTCTGTTGTTCATTAAAGAAGTACTCACTTGAAAATCTTTTGACTAATGAAAAGGTCTGTGCTTGGAAATTTGCCTCCTCCCATCCTGATTGTTCAGTGTCTACCTATTCCTACATCAAGTTTACAGGCAAGACTGTAATTGGGTAAGGGAAAGAATTTTAAATTAAAGAGATGAGAAAAGATACTAACTGAGATATTCCAGAGTACTTCCTGTCTGGAAATGTGAAAGCAATTCTTTGCTCATGTGCAGGGGTTTTAGGAAAGGACCAGTGTCTGTGTGAAGGTGATGGGAGAATGTAATAGGTAGGGAAGGGCAGGCCTGTGGGTCTTTGGCAGGCCTTCAAACCAAATTTTCTGTTTTGGGTACATGTTCTAGTCTACAAACAGAGATGATTGTATTTTTTTAGACTGGAGTTCAATCCTATGTAAATACCATACTTCATAGTAAGGCTGAGGTGTAGCAGTGGAATGGTCAGAAGAAAACACACTGTGCTTTCAGAAGTACTAGAGGTGCTGGAATGATGGCGTCTTCGTTAGGGTTTCTACTGCTGTGAAGAGACACTATGGCCATACCAAATTTTACAAAATTGAGGTGGCAGCTTATACTTCAGAGGTTCAGCCCATTATCCTAATTGTTGGGAGCAGGGCAGTGTGCAGACACACTTGGGGCTAACTACTTCTTGATCAGATGACAACACAACTAAGACATTAGGCATGAGCTGATGTAGTGGCATCTTGTTCCACCAATAGATTTGAGGTGATGTCTACACCTTTGGGTGTGGCTTTAAAGTGCAGGCCTGACTCCTTATAAGGAAGATGAGGGGGTCATTTGAGCTCTCTCTTCAGTGTGGTCAGAGCATCCTGCAGGGCAGACAGTTTATCTCCAGGAGCAGTAGAACACTGCAGTTTTTTACAATCATTGTGTGAATGGTTCCCAAATAAATTTCTGTTAATTCTTTGTTCGAGCATTTGTGGACTTCCTTTAACCTGCCTGCAGCATGAGACCTCAAACCCACAGTCACGATGACATACTTCCTCCATCAAGGCCATACCTACTACAATAAAGCCACACCTCCTAATAGTGACATTCCCTATGAGTATATGGGGGGTAATTACATTCAAACTAGCACAGATGGCTTAGATAGCTAACAGTGTTATTGCTCTTCCCAAAGAATAAAGCTAGATTCTTATTCCCCATGTCTGATCATTCATACACAGCTGTAACTCTATCTCCAGGAAACTGAATTCTGTGGCCTTTTTGGACATATACAACATGCAATCATACCAACACACCACACACACACACACACACAAACACAAACACACACACACACTGCAGAAAAAAAAGGATACATCCTAAAAAAACAAAATGATAGGTTTAGCAGATCATAAGTTTGTCTTCTATCTTTTGGCAGGAGTACAACAGTCTCATGATTTCCTCCTCCAAAATATTCTTATATTCTGGGAAAATATTTCTAGTTATATTGGTGCTTGTGAATGTGGTCACTAATCTTAAGGATTTGAATCTGCATCTACCCTTTGTCCTCTGGTAATTCGGTATCACACATATCTTGCTATCAAAACAGAGGAGGAAGACATGCACTATCTTCAAAATCCATCATAAAGATAAAGATAGACACTTTCATAACAAAATATAGGTTAGCGAGTGAATGTCAAAGCAATTTTAAAATTTTTGTTTTATTAGCAAATATTTTGAACAACATGGTTGATTTCATATATGATTTATCACATATACCATACACTTTGAATGTATTTATACACCTTTACTCTCTCTCCTTCTACACCTCCCTTCCTGACTGTCCTTTTCCTTTGCCAAAATAAAAGCTGCAAAGCTTCCTTTCTACTTTCAATTCATTTTTAATATCAAAATCAATGAATAAGTTCACAGGGGTTTTACTTATAAGAAATATGAAAATGTATTTGTCTTGCTGAATCTTGCTTATTTGACTTTTTATGGTAATTCTGGTTCTAAATAGCTTAATCAAATATGATTTTGTTCATTGGATGACTGAAAATAATGTCTTCCATTGTTCTTTGAAGAGCAATCCCATCATCCTCTTGTTAGACACCTATGCTGACTCCATGACATGGCTGCTGTGAATGGTACCACCACAGGAACAATGTGCTCTACTGACTCACACTTCCTTGAGTATATTCCCTGGAGTTACATAGCTGGACCATGTCCCTCCCTCTCTCTCTCTCTCTCTCTCTCTCTCTCTCTCTCTCTCTTCTCCCATAATTCTCTCCCTCCCTCCACTCTCACATATGTTTTTGAGGATTTCTTATACTAATTTTCAAAGTTTATGTGCTGATTTACTAATTTTCATCAACATTAACAGTGTTTGGAGCCTTTTCCCAGTGTCCTCATCTACATTTGTTGTTATAGGTCTTCTTAATGTGAAGCAGCATCTCCACATGATTTCTACTTTAATTTCTGAAAACCAATGTGTTTACTCTACTTTCTGTGAAATGAGAATTTTCAGAAATCTAGTAAGTAGTAAGATGTAGTGGCACTCAGAAAGCCAGGTTGGTTAACTCACAGAGATTGCCACAAACAAAATCAAAGGGAGACACTGGGACAGCAATCTTCTGAGGTGTCTGCTTCTGTGCTCCTTAGTTTGATCTTGACTTGCAATTAGACAACAGGGGATGCTATAGTGGTTAAAGATTGGGAGGGACATTCAGTGAGAGCCATCTGTCCAGAGTCACCTTCCCCTTTCTTTGTAACATTCCCTCCTCCCAGCTAGCTGGAGACAGGACTCCTCTGTAGTGAAGGTCTTATGACATAGTAAAAGAAAAGGTAAGTCAGAGCACTTCTTCATTACCTGTGTCCATACACAACAATGTGGAATATTTAAGGAATACCTTCAGGTTTTTTAAATTATACCACTCTTTCTCCCTATTTGAAATTCTTCAGAAATTCCCCTTGATAATTTACCTCTGTGACTAATTTTTGTGAAATAGGGAAGAATTTTGCAAGGTAGAAGCTTTGAGGCATTCTAGTATCCTTTTCTTCAAAGCACACGATACTTTGCTATTTTCTGATTTTCAGTGTTCCCTGTTTATTTGCTAACTTGCTTGCCTGAAGGCTATGTCTAATTACCCAAGCTCTCTGATTTAAATACAAATTACACTAAAGACAGAAGGAAACACTAACAATTTATAAAGAATCTAAACCAATTCTCACAATTACTAAGCTTTCTTCTAATTGGAATTTTTCACTGAAATCTCACTGCTTCAAGAGTGGATAGGTATTAGTTAACAGCACCTTTTTTCCTCCAAAGTTAAAGAATTTTTGGGAAATGAATTGCAGACAGGTGTGGATGCAGCCATCCAGCAGCTCTTTTGTCCAAAACTACAGCAGCATGTACTGAAGCCACCAGTTTCACAGCATAAAAGGATTGGTGGGTGGATGGGACTGGCACCTACTTGAACTCAGGCCAATGTATCTGACCTGTTGTTGATCGAATAATGCAAAAGCATTATCCTTAGTGTAGGACTGACTGAGGATAAACAAGGTTTCTGGTAGTTTAAGGACTGTTTAAATGTTTATTGTTTCATGAAATCTGTATAGTGAGAGTAAAACTGTTACTGATGACATGAAAATGTATGTCAGATGACTTGCAATATCTAGTTTCTGTTTATCAAGTTGCTGCTGTCTCTCTTCTTTACACACACACACACACACACACACACACACCACAAAATAGAAATGGAAAGAGTTTATTCTGTAGCAAAATATAAGTGGCATTCTCCCAGGAACAAAAATGCAAATCATCTCAATTATTATAATCCACTAATATTTCCATGGAGTTTTATTGTAACAGAACACGTATAGTTAAAATCATGACTCTTTTGAAATACATTGTTGGAAACTAGCAGGAGTTTGATTACAGAAAAATGGAGAAATGTCTACTACAGCCTTCACTTGCTCATACTATTTGTCCTACCTTTTTAGAGTATGGATGTGTACATCCAAAAGGATTTATCTAATAATCATAAGGACATTAATAAAATCAAAGGTTGGTAGTAAATGATTACTTAAAGGCTAAGATACTCCAAGATAATTTGGCTTTAGAACTACAATATCCCAGTTCTCACAATCATTGGTATTCTAATCAGTTAATTATCTTTGTAGAATGGGTAATGTAAGTACATTATTTTTCTGGTAACTTAAGTCAACAAAGGAAAAATTAATTTTATGTGGTTAAGACTCTGAAGTTAGAACATATGCAAATCTGAGCAACAAAAAGAGATTCACAGAGAAAAGCACACAACTCTGTTTAAACAACAGAAAGGCCATAAGAGGAAGTGAAGATAGGAGTATTCTCACAGTAGATTGATGGGGCAAGGAAAGTTATAGGAAGGTATGATTGCATGTTTGTGCACTAAAGGCAGCAAAGTGTAAGAATCTTAGCAATTAGAACCACCTAAAAATTCTTTCCACAGGGAGCATACATTGCATCTCTCACTTGAATGTCTTCTGACCTATCTCAATTGGTGACTGTCACAAAGCACTCTTGTTGCTCAAATTCCTTCAGCTTTAAATATCAAACCTGCAGGGTTTGCTTTCCTAGTTGACTTTTCTGTTGCTGTGATAAAATACCATGACTCTGGGCCAAACTCCTGGAGTCCAGTTGTGGGGAGGGAAGATTGATGAGCAAAGGGGTCAAGACAATGTTAGAGAAACCTACAGAAAAAGCTGACCCAAGCAATTGGGAACTCATTGACTCCAAGCTAAAAGCTGGGAAAAGTGAATAATACCTAACTAGGACCCCTGAATGTTAGTAACAGTTGGGAGGCATGGGCAAATTATAGGGCCACTGGCAGTGGAACCAGTAATTTTCCCTAATATATGACCTGACATTTTGGAGCCCATTCACTATGGGTTCAGCCTAGATACAGGGTGGAGAGCTTTAGTCCTGCCCCAAAAGATGTTACAGACTTTAATGATTCAAAGTGGTCACACCATTTTTGAGGAGTGGATAGGGGGTAGAGTTGAGAGATGGTAGATGGAGTGGGAGGCCTGGAGAGAGTGCTAGGATTATATGCAAAATAAGATTGTTAAAAAAAATTAAAAAAAAACAATAAATGACCCATAGCAACTTGAACACTAAAGATTTATTTGACTTACAGCTTATAGTCCATCACTGAGAGAAATCAACCAGGATCTCAAGACAGGAGCTTAAAGTGGAAACCACAATCCATCATTGAGTAAAGCCTGGCAGGACATCAAACAGAAGTAGAAATAAGTACCAGAAAAAAAATGCTGCTTATGGATTGCTCCTAGATTCATGTTAAATTACATTTCCTTTACAGTCCCAACCCAACTACATTGGAATGGGATCACCACAGGGGAGTAGGCACCTGTAAATCACTTACTAATCAAGATGTGTCCAAGACATGCCTATGGGCAAATTTGATGGAAGTAATTGTCCAACCTCCAACTGAAGCTTCCTCTTTCCTGATGCATGAAGTTGATAGCCAATATGGAGACCACAATGCCTTATTCTGGGGCAATCCATTCTGAGCCATAGCACATCATTTAGCCAAGTGATCACAGATGTGTATTAAGTATTAGGAATGGAGTATCAAAATGTGTACTAGCTCCTTCTTGGCTATTGCTTTACTTTCCTTGGTTCCATATTTCTTTGGCTAAGATGAATCCATAGGGTACCCAAGATAGTTTTACAATACAGAGACAGAGACCACATTTTATGGGTACATATTACTGCAATTCTACTATTTTATTGTCAATTGTTGATTTTCTTACTTGTCCAAAAGGAATGGAGAACTTTGTACCCATAAGTACTTTTAGTTATTTGGTGCTTTTATAGTTCTAGGGTCTCATGTAGCTAAGAAGGCCTCAGACTTGCTATGTAACTGAGGATGAGCCTAAAATGTTCATCCTTCTGCTCCCACTTCCTCAGTGCTATGATTAAAGTCCTGATTCATGATTCCTGGCTTACATAATGCTGGGGATTGAAACCAGAGCCTTTTGCATTTTTGACAGGTGGCATTGTGCAAACTGAGCAGCATCTCTAGCTTATTTTTAATTTAATTCATTTTATGGTTATTTAAAAATATTAACAAGAGAATTGTGGAATAGATGTAAACACTTAATGTCTCATAAAATTATAACATATCACTGACATTATTTTTTCTATAACTACAAAGTATACACTGCAGGTATACACTACAATATAAAACTATACTACAAACTACAGTGTAATAGATATGGAACCATAAAACAGAAAATGATCTAATAAAACATATTTACTTTTATGTAGCTTCTTTATTCATCATATCTATTAGCGATCAGTTATTTGAATTTGGAATGAATTAACTAAAATACAATGCATTGATGGTTCATTTCCCCAGAAATATACACTAACATTTGAAAAAGATGGTGGCATCTTCATTAGATATCACAGATATGAAATAATTCCATCCTTGATGCATAACATGGCATTAGAATGCAGAGAATAAAAAATTTTAAGCCTTTTTTTTTCTTTTCTTTTTTTCTTCAGTGCCAAAGTATGTCATTAAAGGAATCTGTCATCCCTCTGCGGCTTTATTTAAAAAGTCTCGGCTCTTTTATGTAGGCAAATGCATCATAAAGCTTTCTTTTCCTATCATTTCTACATATTTTACATTCTTTTTTAGGTTTATTGTTTGAAAATTCTATATAGGCATAAAATGTGTCTTGATCAAACCCATACCCCACCCAATTTCTACACTATCTCTCTTATCCCTTTTCTCTTGGGTGTACTGTTTTTTTAAACCTATGAGTCCACTTAATTGCACTCTGTATGCTTTGGTGTATATTACCACCTACAGGAGCATGACATGCTTTCAGGGATCATATCCCTATAGAAACTGACATACCAAAAAAAAAAAAAAAAAAGAGGAATAATATTTCCACAGTACCTCAGACTAGGAGGCATCTTAATCAGTGCCTGCCCCATCCATTCTGTATGTTGGGCTGTCTTGATATTGTACAGGTAGGTCTATTGCATGAACTCACAGATGCTCTGAATTCATTGTTCAATGGCCTTGTTATGCTTGGCAAGAAATAGTTTGCTGTAGATATCAGTTCACTTGTTCTCAAAATTGTTCTGATCTCTTCTGCCTTGAAGGAAAGATGAATAAATTAGATGGCCATTTTAGAGCAGAGACTGCACAACATCTTATTCTCTGTTTCCTATGATCAGGTATCATTCATATATACATACATATATATATATATGTATGTATATATATATACATATATATATATGTATGTATATATATATACGTATGTATGTATGTATGTATGTATCAGTCCAAATAATCCAAAAATGAATTGCTCTGAACAGGAAGTTCCATTATATAGTCCCATAAGTCTGGATGTCTCATCTAGTATTCTGTATTGGAAGATAGACTGACAAAGTAGGCTCCACTGACAGTGAAGGAATAAACATAAACATACTATCAGGGTCAGGACAAGAAAAAAAGATAGAATGGCACTTGGACTGGCTTGTAAACCTGAAATCTCATAGCCCATCCCCAGTACATATTTGTCCCAAGAAGACCAGATCTACTCCAACAAGGCCACACCTCCTAATAGTTTTATTCTCTATGAGCTTATTAGCTTATCGAGACCATTTTTTTTTTAAAGGAAGTATATGCCTAACCCCCTTCTTCTTCTTTTTTATTTTACATGTCGATCCAGTTCCCTCTCCCTCCCTCCCTTCTTCCCTCTTGCCCTCTCCCCCACTTCACATGCGCCCTGACCACCCTCCCCTCTCATTCCCCCACCCCAATTCCACATGTAGGATAATGACATCCAGGTGGGGTCATGTAAATCTGACAAGTCATTTGAAGTAGGGACTAGGACTTCTCTCCTGTCTCTAGGTTAAGAGAGTATACCTCCATGGGGGATGTGTTCGAAAGGTCCCTTTGTGCACAAGGAATACATCCTGTTTCCACTGTCTGAGTTCCCTTAGACTGCTCTGACCTTCTAGCTGAGTACCATATTCAGACAGCTGAACTGAACAAGGAGGAGCTAACGGGCCCCCAGACTGATAGCTGGGAATCCAGCATGGGACTGACTTAGACCACCTGAATATGGAGACTATTTTTATTCAAACCCTATGCTGCAAAAAGCAACTTCTTTCATGAAGGTTGAGAGATCTCATGGATATAAAGAAAGAAGTTATGGATATGAAGATAAGAATGTAGGTGACAGTCTATTGCTATGTCTATTCAGCAAAATTATAGGATTAGCTTAGTTTCTACTGCCTATGACCTTGCTAGCCATTAGGTTTATGACCCAGTTAATAGTACTAGGTGTGGATTTTGTATTGTATGTTGGTTTTAAGCAGGATAAAAATGTATTTATTCCCATAACATTCATGTATTTATTGTTCAAGTGGTTGTATATTGTCAAATCCATCATTATTTTGTCTAATAAGGTTCACAGGTGAGCAACACTTTTGAGCATTTTCTATTATACACACACACACACACACACACACACACACACACACACACCTTCTAGTACTATTAAATCCATGTTGTTGTCATGTTCTTCCATTCAAGTGTATGGTGTCTTTGGCAATAGGACCTTTTCATCATCTGGTGGATATTCAAGTGCAATGGCAATATCTGCAATGTTTGGATGGTTTGTAGGACCCCGTTATCCAATAGTTCAAAAATATGTGACCCATACTAGGCACTAGGCTTTGCAATTGATAGCCCATTGTTTTGAGAGTCCCATTTTCTTCCTATTAAAATGCAGAACAATATATGTATGTATATATGTATATATATATATATATACATACATATATGGGTGTGTGTGTGTGTGTATTTATGTTTATGTAGACTGTTGGTCAGTGGCATTTTCAGTGGGCATTAATGACAGTTGTGTCATCATGTTCTCTTTTCTGCCTATCCTCCTATTCCCTGTGCATTTACTTCTTCATGTCTCCTTGTTTCTATTTTCCTCTTTATATCATCTATATTTTAATCTTTCTTCCCTTGAAATTCCATAACTACTTTCTTCCTTTTTTATAGATGACTGAAAACAAATGTTTACAAAAGACATTCTCTTATTATTACAAATTAGCTTTATTGTTGAACCTCTTATATTCATGGGATGAAATATTTTGACAAATGCAGAAAAATATTAGAATTTAATGCCTATATTTTAAGATTAGAAACTTTATTCTTTCTAAGTCATTATCAATCTTTACATAGCCATGATGCAGTCATGAAGAAATTATTTTTCATATTACATTTAATTATTTTCACATTGTTGAAAGTTTCTTTTTACTTTTTAATGTAAAAACAAACAGACAAAACACAAATACAACTAACTACATAATAACAACCTTGTGTTCCAATTCTTATCTAGGATGGCTTGGCAAACTTGCATATTCTGGCTATGATAAAGAAGTTTATGTCTGTGACTGAATTATACTGCTTATGCATTTTTCAGATGTGGAACAAATGGCATTTGACTGGCTTACCAGAAATCTCTACTTTGTGGACCACATCAGTGACCGGATCTTTGTTTGTAATTACAATGGCTCTGTGTGTGTCACACTGATTGAACTGGAGCTGCACAATCCTAAAGCCATAGCAGCAGATCCCATCGCAGGGTAAGAACATTCCCTTCACCATGCATGGTCTAGAAGATTTCCCATAAAAAGGGATCAAAGTCTAACATTGAGGTTTTGTAAAAAGTAAGATATTAACATTACTAAAAAGAAATACATTGTTTTTTAGTGTTAGCTTTGCAGGAAGAGAAACAGGATAAAAGTCAATGTTTGAAACTTTGTGAATATCTTTGTCCTAACAATGTTTAATACCACAGACCTTGCCTGAGACACTAATACACCTCCCTTTACCTGAAAATTGCCTGTGGTCTCCAGAGAACCTCACAGTGTGTCAAGTTCAGTTTTGATGCTCAGCAGGGAAACTTAGATTAGCAAGTTTCATAAACGCTTCTTGAAAGACACTGTTAAGCTATTTGAGTCAGTATAGCACTTAGGTTTTTATAAACAAAATACCATGTATGTTCAAGGGTATACCAAAATTAAGGATGTCTTTGTTAGTTCAAACTATTTTTCCAATCAATATTGATACTTAGCCTAATAATATTATTGAATTCATGAACTCAGCAGAATCCATATTTTTTTTATTAGTTAGCTTTTTACTTTGTAATTCATGCCATTGGGTTCAAAACAGTCCTTATTAGACTCTCTCTTAATTAATAACTAATTCTATTAGTTAACTAATAATCTTTCAAAAATATTTATTGTTTGTGAAAATGTGATCACAAATGATTATTGGGAAAATCTATAGAGAAAAAAAGTCTTTTATTTTATAAACATGGCTGTATAATTATAATGGGACAAAAAAAAATTCACCTGCTCACCAGTCAGTATTATTAGCCAAGGAGACTTTGGAACCAATCACATAGAGTGTTGCTTTACTTGAAAGGAATGTTGGTTTTAAATATGTAAATTGTAGCAGATTGAAAACTGGAATTTTATTCTTACTGTCATTTCAATAGTCCTCAGGCAGTTCGGCTAAAATGTCTTATGGAACTTATCCTAAACTGCCATAAGCCTCCATTCAATAAAGGGGAAAATATTTACTGAAGAAACAGCTGCCATCCATATGTGGACTTTTGTCACTCTTTACTTAAAGTCTGATTGAATATTAAGATGCATCATCACAATGGTTTTGATTTTGACAAGAACAGCTTGCATGTAAGGACTTTGCAAGCAAGGCTGTGTAACATAATTCTTGAATGAGGCTCTATTTGTGTTTGCAGCAGATGGTTACTTGACTGCAGTGATGCTTCAAAAGGCATTAGTAAAAGAAGTTGTATTTAAACTGATTTGTTTGGGTGGTTAGATAAGGCTAGTAAGAAAGAACTGGGGATTTACAAATGTACTCAAGGCATTCTCTTGGCATCCTTTTTAGAAATGTATGTGCTTGCAAGTTTTTCTCTGATGGTGCTAACTGAATTGCAAATTGGCCTTCTGATTGTCTTGTCTATATAAATATTGAGAGGTGAATTTGCTGTGTTCCTCCTTCCTAGTCACCATATCTTTTGCCTTTCTTAAACACAAAGATGCTTGACTCCTTCCAATAAAGCTGCCAAGTGAAATGTAGCATGTGTGAATGTTATTTCCCATTCACAGCAACAGTGTGATTTTTGTTTGCAGGCAACTTATTTCTCCCTATCATTACAAGAAAGAACCATATTTTGTCATTTTTGTCAACAAAATCAGGAGTAGAAAGCCCCACAATGTTTGCACATATTCTCTGATAGGTTCTTTGGGACTTCTTAACTCCTTAAATGTAATTTTGTTGTGTGTCATTTGTCACAATGGGTGCTCTGAAAATGTTTTGTATGGTCTGACTCTAACTCCATTTTCAGTCATGATCACAAATATTAAAGCAAGAACTGTTCTGCAAGTGTGTGAGTAGACATGGTTTGCTACTGAACACTTCAGCACAGCCCCTCCTGTGTGTGAATAGCCTTTAGTTAGACAGTGTAGTGAAACTTGGAAAAATCGGAAGGGATTCTTCTTCCATTGATACTATGAGTTGCTTTCAAGATAATACCTTTACCTGCACTGTGAATAGGGAAATGTCATGTTATTAACATTTTCCTTACTTCTAACTTAGCAGGGAAATGTGTCTTTGCCTCATCGTGTTTGAATTTTTCACAAATATAAGAACAAATCAGTCATCTCACCAGAAACTTGTATCTTAATCTGAGGAGGCGTAGAATATAATCAGAATGTCCTTTTGTCCTAACGTCCATTTAGAATGAACACCACTCTTTTGACTATGTCTTTGACTTAACTCTTGTCACCCTCTTTTCCATTTGCACATCACAGCTGTCCCAAGCCTAGAACCATTATCTTTCAAATTTTATTCTCTGCTGTCTTTACTTCTTCAAAGTTTGACTACAGAAGACAAATATTCTGTGTATTCTCATTATGCCTGGAGCCAGTCTCAACAAAAATATGCCAAAAAAAAAAAAAAAAAAAAGATGTTCCTAATGATGTTGATGTTTGTATTATGTGGTCTTCAAATTTTAATTACTTATTTCAACTTATTTTTTTCAGGCTATTTTTCAGAGACATTTCCTCAAGGTTTTCCTTTAAATATTTTAGCAATATTTCCTTGCAATAGCTCCTTGCAAAAACCTATAAATTATTGCTGAGGAGCCACTAGTTTTGGAGGCTGGCACAGAGGTCATGGTGTAGCCAACATTAAAAACAGTCTTTTAGGTGTCTGCTAGTGTTTTGTTTTTTTAATAGTTAAGAACTACATCTTACCCCCTCATAGACCACGTTTTATTTCTAGAAGATTCTCTTACTAGGGGCCAGTCTCCTAACAGGTCTTATTTCATCTGGCTATAATTTTTATAATGAGGTATTGAGGTATATGAGACAAATAAGAATATTGAAATATTTCTTGGAAATGAAAACAACATGGTTTCAATGTATTGGAGGAGAAATGCAAAGCAGCTGTGGCTATGAGAATGGAGGCAAGAAAATATCCACATTCATTGCTACACTCATAAGTTCTTTTCTTAAAGCCTTTTTATGCTTTGAAATCTTAGATAAGATACCAATATTTTGGTAATTTGTAATATAGAAGAAAAATAATTCTCTTTTACTATTTTTCTTTCATTGAGAACAATTTTCCATACAATATATTCGAATCACTTCCCCCCCTTCTAAACTTCCCAGATCGCCTGATCTCTCCCCACATCCAATGCCGTGACATTTTTTCCCTTACTCTGAAACAGACAAAAAATATCCCTAAATCTTATTAAGAGATGTTAACAAGGACAGAGCATTGAAAAGTGATGATTATTTTCAAAATAACATAGGAGACTTCAAAACTGGAATGCCAACAAAACAAAACCTGTGAATTCTATGCCCGTACTTGTCAATAACAGAACAGGGCAAAGGAAGTTATTATTTGATGGTGATTAACTGGTTAGAGGATCCTGCATCTTCAGGATCTGTGTCTTCATAGGTAGGGAACAAGGCTGAATGTCTGTTTGTTTTGTTTGTTAAATTTTTAAAATTCTACCATCTCCTCAAATGCTAAGATGCCACCCTTTGGGCTAGCATGATCTGAGCCTCACCAAGGATTAAGGAAATAGGAAACTGCATTATAACAGCTGTATAGGCATAGATTTGCATTGGCTTTATAATTTTCAAAACAAAGGGGTAACAAAAAAATTTCATAGTTGTTCCATTTGTCTGTGTACACTTGTAACATGAACTTTCTGGCCCAGTAGGTCCCGCAGTCCTTCACAGCCCGAAAGAAACACATGGGTGCTATATGACACAGTTGGCCAGTTACTAGTGTTTCTTATTATCTAGCTCTGCCTTAATATTTAACTCATTTCTGTTAATCAATGTATCACCTTAAGGTCTTGGCTTACTGAAACTGCCAGACCTGAACTCCTTTGCCTTCTGCATCTCTGCAGAAATGAGAGTGATTTCCTGTTTGTTCCTGCTTATATACTGATTCTGTCCAGCTTTATTACTTCCTGGGATCACATGATGACTCCTCTCAGTCTACACTTCCTAGAATCCTCCTCATCTCCTAATCCTACCTACCTTCTCTCCCTATTGCCCAACAGTGCTTTATTCATCAACCAATGAGAGAAACATATTTACAGAATGACATCTCCCATCACACACTATTGAAGGAGGCTTGCTACAGTGTTTGCAGTAGCTGGGTCCATTGGCTTTAACTGAGATCACCTGAAAGCCAATTCTGATTTTTCATTCTAGTCTGGGGTCTTCAGACTCTTATTGCACAAAATCTCTTCACAGTTGACCTTAGACAGAGGTGAATTTCACAATGATGTGCAATCATTAAAATACTTCCAAAAGTGGCAATACAAAATAACCTAAAACTATGCGATGGTTAGAAAAGAAATGTACAATAATGAATATTTACCCCAATCTACAACCTTTACCTACAGATTTAAGGGCTGAACTGTTTTTTTTTTTCAAATGAGTTTAAGCTTGCAATAGTTGGCAAAAACAGAACTCTATGTAGGTCACAGCCTTGGTAGGTGGTGTGGTAATTTACAATCCATGAATTACATAGCTTTTGACATCTTGCAATTTGAGTTTGTATACTTTAATCTCTTACTGTGTAAGGGAAGGATACATATATGCATATCTGTAAGAAAACAAATACATGAAGTTCTTAACCTTTTTCAATACAATCATAGATGCTAATAGCTTTCCTCAAACAAGGATCTATCTTTATTCAAAAATAGTACCTCTCCTTTCTTTCATGTCATATATATATATATATATATATATATATATATGACATATATATATATGACATATATAATATTACATATATATTATATATATATAATTACATACATCTGAGAAGGACAATGGAATCTGATGATAAGGATACAACATGTAGTGATGAAATTGAATAATTAGCATGGCTTAAATATTTATTATTTCTTTGTTTTAAGGGTATAATCCCTCTTTTTGAGCTATTTTGAAATTATACAAATATATAATTAGTGTAACTATTAATTGAAGTTCCCTGCCATACTACAGAATACTAGAATTAACTC